CGCCGCCCCCGCCCCCGCCACTCACGCCCCCTACGGCTCCCCATTGGTCGGACGCTTTGCCTTCCCACCCCACCCCCCCTGAAGGCCAATCATATTCTCAGGCGGAGCAGTAGCATTTGCGATTGGTTGAGTAGGGTCGGGGCAGAGCTGGGCCACTGCAGATTAGGCAACTCGGCCAGGGTGGGCGGGCCATGTGTCACCACCCTGCCAAACGGTCAGCGGGCCTTGGAACCCAGCAGGCGGACCTGAAGAGGCGAGTGACCCCAGGACTCACCTGCTGAGGGGAGGAGGCTGAACTCGAACCCAGCGTCTTCCGGGTAAGTTCCCACCTCCTCGGCGCTGGTGGGACCGGCCTTCCCGCCTTTCAGGTGGCGAAGCTGAGACTCTGCCAGGACGTCCTGTGCCGATGTCACACAGCCAGGGCGAGGACTCCTGCCCAGGCCCTACAAAACTGGCTGGCCAAGGACTGGAACCCTCTGCGGGTTATTCACGCCCTCCCTTTGTCCCGGGCCAAGTTTCGCATTGTCCTCGTGGGGTGGGTGGGTTTAACCTCCATTTCTCCGAGGAGGAAACTGAGGCTCTTGACAGAGTGTGAAACTTGCCCAAGGTCACACAAGCCAGGAAGTCCGGACTGCAAGGCTGGGTCCGCAGAGGCCACGAGGGGATCTAAGCAGCCCCGCCCGCCCCCAGGTTGCCGCCCATCTCAGGCCACCCTTCCTCCTCCGGCCTAGGGCTCCCCCAACCCAGAGCTCCGTTCTGGACCCACTCATCTTTCCCTTGCGGCATACTCAATTCTATCTCCAGACCTCCTCACATTCACACACACACTACCCACCCCAGTTTTTCATCTTATGCCAAAAACCAGTTCCTCTGTCCAGTTCCCCAATTAGTCCCTGGGATTTGCCACACACAGACCAGAAAGCTGGGGGTCTTCTTTCTTCATCCTTCCTCCAAAGCCAGTCCCACACACCCACTGATTCTCTCTGTCCTGCCTCCCTCCTCTCTGCCCCTGCTGCCTGAACTGTACCCTGGGCCTCGCCCTTGCCCCACTGGACATCAGCCCCAGCTTTCTGCCTGATCTCTGCCTCCAATCCAGTGCCACAGCAGCCAGAGAGGCCTCCTCTTTTATTTTATACTTTGAAAACTTTTAATGGAAGAATATCACATATGCAGGAAAACATAGAAGTCACAGATTCACAGATCAAGTAACTTCACCAAGTGAATGCTCTGGTATAGACAGCATCCAAATCCAGAACATCCTCTACACCCTAGAAGTCCCCTATACCCCTTTGTCATTGTCCATGAAGGATAACCATTATCATAACTTTAACGTCACAGATGGGTTTGGCTGGGTTCTCATCTTATGTGAATCTTACCATACTATATTTGTCCCTGACTGCACAAACTGTTAAACACTCAGTTCAAAGGGAACAGTGTAGAACACAGTGAAAATCAGATCTCCTTCACATTCTGTTGTCCTTCAGTGACCTATTCCCCTTCCTGAAGTCCCTGCTCCTTACTGCCTGCCAGAGTGCAGATATAGATTGTCATACACTTTTCCCATCCTTTTTGGGGGCCACAAATGGAAACATTGCTATACACGCCATTCTGCCATTTTTTATATATATATTAACATTAACATCTTTTGGCCACCTTTGCATATAATTACTTTAAAAGCTTGTAATTATTCCTGGCTGCAAAGAATTTTATAGCATAGATACACCGTAGCTCATGAAACAGTACCCTAACTTCGAATGTGTAGGTGGACTTCTACTGGCTTGTTCTGCAGGAGTCCGGTAGTGAATAAGCTGTTTCATTTCACAAGCAAGTCTGCAGGATACTTAGGAGCAAGTTTTCTGGGTCAGAAGGCTCGTGTATCTGTTATTTTAACAAATGTGGCCACATGGCTCTACCATGTAGGAACTATCCATAGGCCTCCTACCAGCCTGAAGGGGAGTTTCTGGCTGCTACAGACCTTGTTGTAGGTTTTTGGACATTTCGTCCTGACCTGGCCCTGTCCCTCCTGCCTCCAGAAGAGTGAACACCATGAGTAGGAGTGAGAAGAGCACTCCAGGGGGGAGGGAACAGCATGGGGCCAAGGCCCTGAGGTCCCCAGTCTCTTGCCGGAGGGGTTACATCTTAGTCCTGAGGACAGAGAGGAGAGTTGCTGAGATAGGGGAGTAAGAGTCAACTCTGTGTTTTCAAAAAGATTGTTTCCCCTCTCTCTTCACTGCCTCTGGGAGAACTGCTGACCCTGCCAAGACAGATGGGTTCCCTGTTAACTCCAGCTCGGGTAACAGCTGTAGTTAAGCAACCAGTTAATTCAGTGTGGTTTTGTTTTAGAGGGCATTTCCATCCCATTATTTTTGAGATAAAATTCGCATAGCATAAAATTCTCCATTTCAACCATCCACTGGTTTTTAAATTCCAGATATGTCACACACAGAACATTTTCATTGGTAGATGTGTTCCATAGAAAGAATAATTATTAACACCTGCATGTACGAACCACCCCACTTGACAGCTTCACCCGAGGGTCAGTTGTGGTAGCCTCCTGCCCTTCACTGGGTCTCCCATTTCCCAAGTAAATTAAGGGATAAATGGGTGAACCCGCAGAGGGGGAGGGAGCTGCAAACAAAATCTCAGATGGAAATCCCTAGGTGTGCAGCAACTCAGGGACCCAGGAACACTACTGGGACATGCTGAGATTCCAGGGGCCAGGGTTCCAGATGCTCTCACAGGGAGGCAGCCAGGCCTCCAGTTCTTGCAAGACCTTGGTGAAGCCAAGGGTGAAGCCCTTCTAGGTCTCAGCACCTCCTCTGGGGAAGGGCTGCTGGGCTGCTGTCTCCACCAGCTCACGCTTTCTCCCCCCACCCCCCTTTTTAAAAAATTATTGTACAATACACATAACATAAAATTTACTATTTTAAAGTACACAGTTAAGTGGCATTTATGTACCTTCAGGATGCTGTGTGACATTTCCATCCTCCCAAATGCAAATTCTGCCCATTAGGCAGTCACCCCTCAATCCTGCCCTGTTCCCAGCCCCTGACCCCCACCAATCTGCTTCCTCTCTCTATAGATTTGACCATGGCGGACATTGTGTACACATGGATTCCTACACATGTGGCCTATAGTGACTGGCCTCATTAAGCATTGGGCTAAGGTTCATCCATGATATAGCATGTGTCAGCATGTCCTTCCTTTTACAGCTGAATAATGCTGCACTGTTCAGCACAGCAGCCTTTCTGAGCCCCGGAAGGCAGTTCGGCTGGCTGCTTCACACCTGGGTAAACTGAGCTTCAGAGGCCAAGTGGAAGCTGCTCCCCCCAGGCCATGAGAGGGATACAACTGGAGAGGATGTGGCTTTTTTTCTCAGGAATCACATCCCGCTCCTTGGGTTACCCACAGTGGGCCCCTGGTCAGGTCACATCACTGCTAAGGCCTCAGTTTCCCCCAGGGGCAGGGTGAGGGTCACAGTTGGAGCCTGAGATGCGAGACAGTCTTTAAGGACTTGGAAGATATCCCCATGCACTGTGCTGTCTCAGGAAGGAGGGGGCTTCCCAGGGCTCCGGGGAGCGAGGCTGAGACTTGGGGTGGGCAGGATAAGAGGGGGCTTCCCAGAAAGTGACCTCCCGGCTGAATAGGACACATTAAAAAAGTGTTCTGGGCCTGGGAACAGTCGATGCAAAACCTGCAGGTGAGAAGAAGAGAGTGAGAAGGGCCCTCAAGGTTTAAGTGCATGGACCCTGGATGTGCAGAGAAGGCACACATAGTCCCTGCCTGACCCCACCCCTTGGCCCCTCTGCCTACCCTCAGGACATGGCAGCTGTGAGGCCCTGCCTGGGCCGAGTCCTCCCAGGATCGTCCATACTATTTCTGTGTGACATGCAGGAGAAGTTCCGCCATATCATGTACTTCCCCCAGATTGTCTCTGTGGCCGCCCGAATGCTCAAGGTACAGGTCCTTCCTCCCTCAGACCCAGGGTGCAGCCCCTCCTCCCTCAGTCCAGGGGTGCAGGCCCCCAGCTCCTCCCTTGGGCTCAGGCTTTTGTTGCCCCTCCCCGGCACAGGTGGCCCAGCTGCTGGAGGTGCCAGCCATGCTGACAGAGCAGTACCCACAAGGCCTGGGCCCCACAGTGCCTGAGCTGGGGGCCGAGGGCCTGCAGCCACTGCCCAAGACCTGCTTCAGCATGGTGCCAGTGGTGCAGCAGGAGCTGGACGCACGGCCCCAGCTGCGCTCTGTACTCCTCTGTGGCATAGAGACACAGGCCTGCATCCTGGTGAGACCCTGACTGACCCCTGGGATCCCCCACCCCCGACCCCCCATCCTAAAAGGATGTTTCTTCCCAACTCAGAACCCTCTATCCCCTGGTAGGACCCCTTTCCTGACCCATTACCACCTCCTGACCTAGGACTTAATCCTCACTCAGGACAACACTCTACCTGGGGTACCTACCCTGCCCTGGGATCCAGTCGTAACCTGGGGTCTCCCACCCTGGTCCAAGCCTCCCTCATCCCCATCCGTGCTCCCCGGTCACTAACCCAGGACCCCTGTTCTTGTCTGAGGTTGGCCCTGACCTCTCTCTGCTCCTAGCACACGGCCCTGGACCTCCTGGACCGGGGCCTGCAGGTCCATGTGGTGGTGGACGCCTGCACCTCCCGCAGGTGAGAGGGTCCCATGAGGGGTGGGTGCATGTAGGGTGTAGACAAGACACCCAAGAAGAATAAGGAGGTGGATGTCTGGGCTGCATGCTGACACCCTCCCCTGCAGCCAGGTGGACCGGCTGGTGGCACTGGCCCGGCTGAGGCAGAGTGGCGCCTTCCTCTCCACCAGTGAAGGGCTCATTCTCCAGCTAGTGGGTGACGCCTCCCACCCCCAGTTCAAAGAGGTAACTGGGCCCCAACCCCCCACCTCTCATGCACCCAGTCTTTGCATAGTAGTCCGGGATCATATACATCCGGGAACACTAAAGGCTGCTGCCTCCTGGTGGGGGCGGGGGGGCGTGTCTCAATTCTCTCCATAAATCAATGAGAGCAGAAGCTGATGGCTTGCAGTGAGGACTGGAGAGAGAAAGTGGGGAGTGGCTTGCATCAGGTGGTCTGGGAGAAGGTGATTTTGGAGTGACATGAAGACAGGAGCAAACCAGGCAGATACAGGAAAGAACCATCCAGCAGACGCCATGTAGATGGGGGCCAGCCCTCTCCCCCATCTCTGGCACTCAGGCTCAGCCTTTCACCACACCGCCCAGTGGCCTTCCTAGTACCCAGGTCTGACCAGGTAGTCACCACTGCTCCACACTCTTTGTCTACAGGATAACAGGACATTCTAGAACTTGACATTCCTAGCCCTCTGATCTCTGCCCCTTCCCCTCCTCTTAGTTCAGTTCTGTTGATCTTTTATCGAGCACCTACTATGTGCCAGCCACTGTGACAAGTCTAGGGGCAACAGCAAAAGCCAGTTCGTATTCCATACACTTTGTAGTCTGGAGCTGGGAAGGGACTATACTGAATGTGTGAGAAATTAGCAACAGGGGTCTCTCTCACAGGGGGTGGGAAGCAGAGCCCAGAAAGGGGAGGAGCAGCCAGTCATGCAGAAAGTTTTTCTGGCTAAGGGACCACCTGGGGCCAAGTCCTGGAGGTGAGATTGAACTTGCCTTATTCCAGGAGCTGTAACAAGGCACAGTGAGTGAGTGTGGAGGAGGGGAGGCTGGGAGGAACTTGACCATGTCTTCATGGAAGATTAGAGATTTTAGTAAGCGGCAGCCATGGGGGCATGCACAGGGTAGCTGGCCATGTCAGATCTGCATTTTGGTACTGGGTGGTCAGTAGATATGGGTGGGGATCAGGACTGAGGGAGACTAGAGTGGTGGCAGTGGGGATGCAGGTTTGACTTATTTGTATTGTTTAATTAATGGAGGTAATGATGGGGTTTGCTGACACGTGCAGTGGGGGACTTTGGAAGAAGGCAGCCCACAGAAGGCTTCTAGGTTGTCAGCTTGAGCAGCTGTGCTCATGTTGTATACTGCTTGCAACAAAACAGCGAGTTTCAGGGGTCAAGTTGTGATGGACATGTAAGAGGCAGTGGATAAATGAGTATGGAGTTGAGGGGAAAGACATGGGTTAGATTTGGGGTTTGGGGGATGGGAGAGGTGAGATGACTTAGGAAGAAGCAGGTGTAGACAAGAAGCCCCAAGACAGAGTCAATAGTGGCGCAAGCCAGCTAAGCAGACCAAGATAGCAGGTGATCAGGAGCTAACCTAGATGGGTATAGTGAAAGGGAGGCCCCAAGAAAAGTTCAGAGTAGAGGGAGTGGTTGGTTTGGCCATTTGCTGCCAGGAAGGCAAGGGAGATGAAAGTGGAGAACTGTCCCTGGGATCTGCCATGGAGATGGGGACCCTGTACTGTTCCTGACCCCAGTCTTCCGGCTACAGATTCAGAAGATCATCAAGGAGCCTGTTCCAGACAGCGGACTGCTTGGCCTCTTCCAAGGCCAGAACCCTCTCTTCCACTGAACTCCCACCTTGCCTTGAGGGGATAGCTCCTTCCTGTCACCTGGACCTTGGTAGAAGCGCTTTCCCCCCATCCTTGAATCCCAAGAGTGGTGCAGTCCACCGGGAGTACTGCCCCTTGAGTGGGAAGGCAGGTGCTGCCTTGCCATTGGGCGGCAGTTCCAGGAAATGCAAATGAGCTTCTGGCAGCTGGATGGCTATTGGTGGAGCTGCGCTGGAGGTGGGGCTCTACCCCCAGCCACTTCAAGGAGCGGGAAAGGGAGGGGGCGGAGTGTCACAGACTGTGTGGGACCCGGACTCGCAGAATAAACATTGAGGTGGCTGTGGACCGAACCATTCTTGGGTTTGAGGGGTATTCCGGGGGCTGAGGGCTGGGGGAGGGGAGGAAGCGGGGTCCCCAGCAGGTGGGGAGGGGGAAGTGCCTCTTCTCAGCTCCAAGCCGGCTCGAGGCAAAGGCGAGGGCTGGCCGTGTCACATCTGCACGGAAAAGAGCTGCCGGCCGGGTTCCCCAGCACGCGCCCCCCACCAGCGCGCGCACGCCTAGCCCGGCCAGCTGCAGACACGAGCTAGCTCTGCCTCCCCCAGCTGGCCCCCCGCGCCGCTGCTACCCCAGACTCCCCAAGGGTCCCGCATCCGGAAAGTGAGGTGAGCGCGACCGCACTCTGTGCGGAGGGGGAAACTGAGGCGCTTGGAACATGGGAATGGGAGGAAGGAAGAGACAGGCATTCAGATGAACAGATGAACGGATGGGAAGGACAGACAGCTTCATCTGAGTGGGCCCTGCGTCCCCGAAGACGCAGGAGTCAGGGGATCCACAAGGGGCTCCCAGAATTCTGCAGCCCCTTTGGAAATCTGGAAGTGGGGACTCTACGGAACGCCCCTCCCACCAGTCAAGGCCCCTCAGCCCCTTGATTCGTAGTCCTTGTTCCCTACCCCCCTCAACCTCGGGAGCCTAAGAAGGCAACCTCTGAGTCCCCCAGGGACTCAGGCCTCAGAGTTCTAAACCAGCCCGCCTCCAATGAGGAATTAGAGACCCCCAAACCTGAAAAACAGACCCCTCTCAGAAAACCAGTCCCCAGAAACCGGTGTCAGAGTGCCCAGCACCCTCTCTCCCAAGGGACTTAGGAGTCCCAGCCTCCCCTCTCCTCCAGGACCCCCTGGGACCGGGCGTCAGCGCCCCGGCCCCCGCTTTCCGGATCCAGGTGTCCCCCCTCCTCACCCCCCAGCCTGAAGCTTCGCGTCTCCGAGGCCGCGCTCGCGTCACCATGGCAACAGGAGTCTATTTTGCGCTGGGAACACATAGCTCCCGCCGCAGCGGCCCCCCACCCCCACCCCGCCCCTCCAACCTGGGGCCAAGAGAGAGTGGGGGGACCTGGAGGGAGAGCGGGGTTCCAGAGTGAAGGGAGAGACACAAATTCTCAGAGGGTCAGAGATCTGTAGACAGCAAATCCGGGAAAAAGACATAGAGAAAGAGACATGGAGTCAGAGAGGTAGAGAGTTGGGATGTGGAGCCGGGGAAACAGGATGCAAAAGACAGAGACGCGGTGGGGGCAGCGGGGAGGAGGAAAATGCTGGCATACAGGAAATTGAGACTCAGAGAAGGGGACAACGAGAGACGGAGACGTAGGACAGAGACTCAGAGACGCGATGAGACGCGTAGAGACACCGGCTGAGAGAGAACAAAACCCAGGACAGATTCCGTTAGAGGATAGAGACCCGCCTCTGGCCGAGGGAGGGGGTGATGGGAGGCGGGTCCAAGAGGAGGGCTGGACCGGGAGACATCAGTGACTGGAAGGTCTAGGGACTTGGGTGGGGGGCGCAGGGATCGAGTCCCACGGGCCTCCGGAAGTTCGTCCCCGAGAGAGTCCACCTCTCTCGTTCTGTCTCTGCCTTCCTGGCGGCGAGCTGGGGGTGGGGCCAACGCTATATCCTCCACCCTGCCACCCCCAAGCCGGACTCCTCCGTTTCTCCCTCCACCTTCCCTCATCTGTAGGTCCACTTCCTCTTGCCCGCTTTCCACATCTCTACCCCAAACCAACACTCAACCTGCAATATTCCTGGGAGTTCCTCCCTTTGCACTCGGACCTCGTGCGCCCCGTCCCCACCTCTCCTTTCCTACCCACCGCGCAACCCTCTCCAGCCCCCAGCTCCTGGCATCAGGGCTTCTGATTCTCTTTCTGGGTCTGTACTCCTTTGGGGGTCTCTGTCCCCCTCTCTGGGCCTCTGCCCCTCTCCCAAGACTCCCTTTTCCTGTCCCCTCCCCTGGTCGTGCTCCAGGCTTCTCTGGAGTCAACTCTCCTGGCCCCACCCAGCCTACCGAACCCTAGCCCCCATCCAGCTGGCTGGCTCAGGAGAGAGAGGAGGCGGGATTGGCTGAGTTGAGACCAAGTGCTGTGCAGGGTGGCAGGTGTGTGTGTTGGGGGAAGGGTTCTCCAGGAACTCAGGGACTGAGTGGGGCCTGCTCCACAGCCCCTCCTCCAGCTGGCTCCCCTGATCTCTGTCCCTACATCCGTGTCTCTCAGGTCCCGGGCTGAGGTGGGATGCAGGGTGTAGGGAGTGAGGAGACTGGTGTTGAAGGGGCCTTCCTCTCTAGCTGTGAAGAAGCAAAGTGCCTCATTTGGGAGGGGATGTGGGGGGTTAGGGGTGGTGCTGTGTGTGTGGTGAGGAGTCACATGCCTGCTTCTACAATCACCACTTCTGGGTGAGGGTATGTTTGCACACATGTGTACACCGACAAGGTTGCATGACTGGGGGCTGTGATGTGAGTAGTTCCGTGTCCATGTGTAGCTGGCTTAGGCAGGTTGCTAGCCATGTTCTTGAGCTGTGTGTGGTCCCAATGTGTCACAATATCTAAAATTGTGTCTGAGTCTTGTGTGCTTTAGGATGAAACACACAGACATGCCTAGCTGTATGTCCACGTGGAGCTGTGCATTTCTGAGGGGGAGAGAAGCTTCCAAGTGTACCACCAGGACAACACTGGGTGTCCTTGAATGTTGTGTCTGAGACACTGGGTGGGTGTCCTGTGCTCTGTGTCACTGTGTGTAAAAGTTCCGTTGTATGTCTATGCATAGTTTTGTGTGAGCTAAGGGAGGAACTTGTTTCTCTGTATCCTTGCATCTGAACAGGCCACTGTATCCCTAGGTGTGTGTCCCCTCCCCACCTGTAAGTGCTGCCCTGCATTGGGAGGTGTGCGGTAAGGTCAGGAAGCTGTATTGCTAGAGGAGCTGTGCATGTGCATGTGTGTGTGTTTTTTGTGTTTTGTGTCTGGGTGCATTGCTGGGTTTAAGGAGATTCGTGCCACTGTTCCCTGCCCCTCAGAGTTGCCAATGGCCTGGAATTGTTGCTTCATGGGTATGTGCACTGTGTGCTGTTGGAGGAGACAATGGGAGTGTCAGCAAAGGAAGAATTTGTGTTCATGGGCCCAGTGGAGACCTGGCCCAGAATAGGGACTGAATGACATACTGCTAGCCCTTAAGGCAGCCTTTATGCAGATGAGGCAAAGGCACCCCCTGACCCAAAGCAACTCTCCAGTGTCTGTGGTTTGGCAGGCAAATGACACCCTTGTGTGAGTCTAAAAAGGATGCCCCTTCCCACAGATAGATGTAGCCCCAGAGACACACCTTGGGGAGGAGAGCCCTGCTGGATTCCAGCCAGATCCCCTTGTGCAGTGTATAAGCTGCCCAACCCTACATAACTCCATGAATGAAAGAATCTATATCGCCATCCACATCACTGTGTGCATGTGTCACTGTTGGAAGGGGTGGGTCTGATGCATGCCAATCATTTCCCTGTGGTGGATAATGTCATCCATGTTCTATGGGTGGTGGTACCCTGAGGCCCACGTTCAAAGCCCCGGTCCACTGGTTGGCCACTGTGGAGCTCAGGCAAATGAAGAGATTTCTTGGAACCTTGGTGTTCTCATTTGAAGTGTGTATGAGGGGGAGGGGGGCAGGGGGCTGGAAATTCCTTGATTACTACACCTAAATAAGGAACAGCATTTGCGGGGACTGAGGACCATATGGGTTTAAGTCAGAAGTTCTCAATGGGAGCAACAGTGCCCCTCTAGGGGGAAATTTGGCAATGCCTGGAGGTATCTTATGCTATCACCGCATGGGAAAATGTGAATGCTCCTGGCATGTAACCGATGCTGCCAAATACCAGTCTCCAGAAGTCAGTACTGTAGCGGTTGAGAACCATGCACTACCTCTTCTCACCTGCCTGGTCTATAAACTCCCATTCTCAACTCCAATCTCTCTCTCTCCCCCTTCCCCCTCTCATCCCTCCACCCACACCTCTTTCTCTGGTCTGCCTTCATTCCCTCTCCCTGTCCCCGCTGACTTTTTTCCAACCTCCTCTCCACTCCTCTGCTCCCTCTGCTCTTCTCAACTCCCTATCCTCTTCTTTCACCCTATCTCACCTCTTTCTCTCCTTTACCCACTTCCATGGATCCTTCTCCCTTCATCACATCTGTCCTCTGGTTTTTGTCAACCCGACCAACATCTCCTTCCTGAACATCTCTCCCCATCTTTCACTCCGGTTGATCCTTTCCCTCCACCCACTAACGCCATTCTCCTCCGGCATGGTCCGAGCTTGATTTTGTCGCCCCTCCCTAACACGCACGTGCGCGCGCGCACACACACACACACACACACACCCTCCTCCCCCCTCCACTGTCCCCCCACACACTCTCCTCCGCAGAGGATGTGGTGTACACACACACACACACACACACACACCCACACACAACACACACACACACACTCCTCTCCCCGTCCACTGCCCGGTTGGACCGCCAACATTTGGCCCATGCCCTCTCCCTCCATGATTCCTGTCTCCATCCGTCTACCTTCCCTCGGCCTGCCCTCCTCATCCTCTCCAGCCACCGCTCTCCAAGCTTCCCCACCTCTGGTCATCTCTCCAGCCCTCTTCCCCAGCTTCAGATCTCGGCTCAGCCTGGCGACCCTGTCCGACCTCCTGCGCGCCCCATGGCAGCCCTCCTGCTCCTCGGGACCATCCTACTCATGGCCTCGACCGCAGGTCAGGCCGGGGCGCGCCCGTCCAACGCCACGAG